CTTCAGCAGCCTTTTGACCTCCAAACCAATTGTTCATGACTGTATATGGCAATACTGAGGGGGGAAAGGGCGTCTAAGTTTCATGCTCACCATCCCCTCCCATCCCAAATTCTGCACATATCTCCTCTTAAACACTACAAGTGCTCAGTAAACCATTAGAGTATGCAAACTCAATTTGGCCAGTTATTCTGTGCTATTTTTTTATCCATTGTACAATTCAGAATGAAACTAGAAACACTGCAGCTGATCTGTACTACAAGGCTATAATTGCTGCAATACTCACTGTAAAAAGTACTGAATTTTGTTCTCATTTCCCTTTTAAACTAAGTTTTTATTTGAGACAGCATTATTATTTATTCCTTAATTATACTACATCTAATCTTTTGCATCAGTAGCACTTGGCTGTGAAAATATTAAGTAAAATGAAGCAGAAGCAACATTAGCTGGCCTCTGGAAGCCACGGCGTACTTACCAATGTCATGAATTGGCTGCTTTACTCCTATTTCATTATTCACAGTCATTACAGAAACCAAACTTGTATCTGGCTGGAACGCAGCCTCCAATTCCTGGTGAAATATTCAAACAGACAGAAGTTGTGACTAAGAACAGAAGCAAGATTCCTGTGCACACCTTCGATTTGCTAGCAAATCTTAACCACCAGCCTCCTAGCTAGCACATTTCCAACAAACCCCTTGGGTTCTGACAAACAGTCCGGGTGAGAGCACTAATCCATGTAAACACAAAATTCCTGTAGGAAGAGGAGCATGATCACTTGCATTTCTACATATCCTAACCCTGGTATGCACTGTGCCACCTGACTTGATTACATCAAGTCAGAACAGGCTTTTGCTATGCCTCATACATTCCTCTGATCTATTTTCTTTAATGAATTAACTACCCACAAAACAGCTTAAGCCACATCTAGACAAAGTGCGTTGGCTATAAAGGAACTGCACGATATACAAGAAAGTGTCATGCAAAGGAGTCTGCCAGCAAAGTTCTCAGAGAACATGACTAACACTGCTGCGCCTGCAGGCCTGATCCCTCTACCCCACCGCAAACACACACATCTCTCCAGGCCAGATGACGGGGGTAGAAATAAAACTGATGCTGTCCTGTATTACAGGACACAAACAATGAAATAAGCATGTACAACTTCTAAATCCCAGGACTGAGGCCAGTACACCCAGAAGGGTCAGTTCATGGACAGCAATCAGGAGGGAGTATTGTAATCACTGTGTCTGATGCCGTGAGTAGCTCAGGTCATGAAATTTCACCACTGCCTCCTGTATCAAAGCCAGCTCCATCCTAGCCATGTACTGGGCTCTCTATAGGGTATGCAACAGCTCCACCTGCATGGTTATGAATGACAGCAGGTGAACAGTGGGATGAGAGATGGATGTTTTGGTTGAGAAAAAGTCTAGAGCACCAGACAGAACAGAAAATCCGTCTCCAACTGTGACAGAGATTTGACTGTGACTCTCATTCTACCTTGTGATATTTATCATCTTTTGCTCTTTATCATCGAGAGGACACAAGGTCCTCTTGAACATCAATTTAAAGCAAAAACCTCTTCTATTTTCACTTTCTTTCTGTCAGTGAACAACCTACCTTCAAATCTATGAGCCCATTTTTTTTAACAGGTAGATACGTGACCCGAAAACCTTCTGTCTCCAAGGAACGGCAAGAATCCAACACGCACTTGTGCTCTGTTTGCGTAGTAATGATATGCTTTTTTCTGGATTTATAGAACCTTGCAACACCCTGTCAGGCACAATCCATGAACAAGAAATTTGCCATTAGGCCACTGAAAAAAGCAAGCTTTACACAAAATGATTGGAAACAAGAAATTACTATTTAGATACAATTCATTATGTTTGCCCCAAGTCATGAATCTAAAAGGTACCGACATGTAATTCACAGTACATATTTCCAGAAGCACTCATTTTTCAAAGCATCTCACTTTTTAAAAAGCCTGTGAAAATGTTAACTAAGTTCTAGACACTACTAACAGAAATACTTTTTTAAAAACATTTGCAATGGAGTCATATACAATGAGAAGTCTGAACAACCACATATTAAAGGTTAAAACACTACCTAGTCTTAGTCAGAAAAAAGTTTGTAATCAGCATCTCCACTATATTTCATGAAAAAGATTTTAATTATGTAAGCAGAAGGATTGTATCTGGCGCACATAAGATAAACATTGAGTATTATAATCCGTCCTCAAAACCATGTCCTGGGCACCAAAACATCCTGGTATTTCCTGCATTTCTGTAGCAGAATATCACAAGGATTAAATCCAGGAATGCAAATATTTGCTAACTAGGCCAACATATTAACATTTAAACTGTTGAAACATGCATACAGTTCTTAAGAGCATAATTTTAACATAATAAATAGTTATCAGTATAAACCTTTTACCTTAATTGCCATATTATTTGATTCTGTTGCACCACTGGTAAATATAATTTCCCTTGAATCAGCTCCTATTAAATCTGCAACTTGCTGTTTAAAAAGAAATACAAATTTGATTTGTTAAGACAAAATACAATTAATTCAACACAGCAAAACACATGTAAAATGTTTTCAAGAATATTCCCTTGAGCCTCGAAAGGCTAGTATCTCACAAAGTTATGCTACAGGTACAATAGTCTAAATATCTGCATTAATATAAAATACGTAAGGAATTCATAGTCATTAACAGTAGTGCTATTAAGCATTAGCCATCATAAAAGAACATAAGAGTTAAGTAGACAATAACCCAGTACACGTTACTTCCAAAAAAAATGACAGAGACCCATACCTAAGATTAGGAGAATGATAAAATATGGAGTTAGCCTGATTACTGCAGCAGCATGCTTGTGAGCTCAGGAAACCAAAAATCCTGAGGCACCTTTGCCTAAAGTATTAGTTTCTGCCATTTCAGTTGCTCCAATCTCACTATTTTTTCTTGCAATAAATCTGCTAAATCACAGCTAAGCAAAGAGGAAGCTGCCAAATCCAGCCTACAGAGAACTAACTAACTACAACAGTTTTATCACTGCTTTTGATTTTCTTTTGACACTGAATTTCCTCACCAGCAGCAAAACCACTGTGACTGTGGAGAGCCGAAGACTCACCCGCCTCGCCTTCTCCATGGCAGCCTCACTCTCCCAGCCGTAGGCGTGGGTCCTGGAGTGGGGGTTGCCATAGTAGGCCGTCAGGTACGGGAGCATGCTATCCAGGACTCTGGGATCCTGCAGGGCACAAACCAGCCAGCCTTAGAAACAAAGAAAAAGCATCTCTGTCCCCTCTACACACCCCCCCGCTCCCTCCGCCCCAGGATTAGCAGCACTTCTGCTGCAGTGTCTACACTTAGCTCAGGCCAGATCTCGAAAACTCGAGGTTATTGCACGTCATATACAACATAGCCTCCGGCAAATATGAGTACCCGGCAATTACATTCTGCGCTCTCACACATAACCTTGGTCTGCATCAAGATGATCACAGAAGAACATGATTTTCTGAGCAGAAGACATACAATGTCTTAAAAAGTCGGGAAAAATTACACAGGCGAGTATTTTGGTTAAATGAATTTCTGGCTGCCCCTCAAAGCAACAGCCACCCCCACAGAGTTCGGCGCGAGCCCCAGCGCGGCTCTGCCACTGCTCCCGCCCTGCAGCGCGCCCGCAGAACGCGAACGGAGGCACCGAGCCCCTGCACGCCCCGGGGGCGGCGGCAGCGATGAGGCGGCCCTTCGGAGGATGACCCAGGTCCCCTGTGCCCCAGATAAACGCGCCTGGCGTTACAGCTAACGTTCAGCGACGCTGCTTTATCCAGGGCCAACCCAGGAGCGCAGGGAGAGCCTCCAACTCGGGAAACAGGCGAGCGCTCCAGAAAAAAGAGAACAGAAGCAAAGTCTACTTCTCCCCTTCCCCCTGTACTTGCTGTTCTTTGGGGGGAAACCGCGGATTCGGGGCCGATGCAGCGGCTGCCGGGCACGGGCAGCCCAGGGGCGCCGGCGCCGCGACCCGAGAACGCGAGAGGCCGGGACAGAGCGCAGCCCCGGCGAGGCCCGGCCCTCACCAGCGGGGTGGTGGCCTGGACGTCCATGTAGAGCGGCCGCCGGGCGCCGCCCCCATCGCCGCTTCG